AATTTCTAAGTTAGCAGTTGTGTTATATTTGCAGAACACTACACTGTCGTACCGGGTTCTTCTGTCAACAATAACATGCCGGAAGATTTCATGCAGGGAAACATATTAGAGGTAGTGTCTTTTACGTTTTATTTTGAATTCGTTTTCACTTGAAATAATCGTGCTGTCAGTGAAAATTATCCGATTGAAAAAAAGAACAAGTGGCGAAAATTCCAGCTAGAGTTAGTGGGTCGGTACCGACGGGTAAGGATACGAATAGTAAGGCTACAAAATATAGAAATTGAAAAGTTATGTCTGTCTTGATCCTTTGCTGATTGTTTTGGACCCCAGTTGAAATCTCCTTGCATGAATTTCGGAACAAGCTCCAAAACTTTGATATCCAGTCACACTGTAAGCGGGGTAGGATAGGGTGTCTTTCTTCAACACGTTGACGTCAGTGGGCTTCCGCATGCTCATGCTGGGGACGCACCTGTCTCAAAGTTTTCGAAAAATCTCTCAGGTGCTAGGAGCCATCCTCTTTAAAATCGTTGCATCTCGAAGCAGAAACTTTTGGAACTTTGCATGTCTCAGATCTTTGCTGAGCTTTCAAAGCAAACGTGAGTTTTTGCGAATGGCCCAGAGGCTTTCGGACCCATCCTAACAGGGGTTAGATCCATATTTCTGGAAAGTTGCAGCTAAGACAGATTTGAACTCAGCGGCTTGAGACACGCATATGGGTAAACATCCCATGATTGGCACTGACCAATTGACCTTTCCTTGTTAGCTTTCACCTGCAGTCTGATGATCGCGTGTAATCAGCCACTCAAACTGACAAACGTAGATCAATCTCCTGCAGTACGGTCTTATGGAACTGTTCACATTGTCGTTAGACCATCTATGAATCATTGTAGTTCAAGTTGAAATTACTGTTGTTTCAGCAGCCAATATTTGAAATTCAGGAGTGAAACCTCGTGATTCTTCGTGGAGCAGTCAACCACACTGAGCACTGGAGCTAAAAGGTGTTGCCAGCTTCTACTCGCTAGACTGTGTATTCTTCTCTTTTTGGATTTGAATTATTGCGGGTTTCGCTCTTCGTTCATATCGCGAGGATGTAATAAGTTTCTGTTTTGTTATTATGTTAGTGGCAGTTTGGCATATTCATGTATAAGCGTTCTTACGTTGAGATAGAATTTTCGATCCGTTCTGCAGAAACATGTATGGTTAGGTTCTTATTGAATTTTAGATTAGTTGTGTATTTGATTCCATGCTAAAATTACTATTGAAAGGCTGAGATTTATTGTAAATACATTCATAGAATTGCGTAACGACGGCTCAGTTTTTAAATGTTGGCTTTGTAAGTGAACAAAGAGGCCAGTTTCGTCAGAGACCAAACAAGATTGTCACCGTACACGTCGAGGTTGGATTCCGATCCAGTCCAGTCGGAAATCGTCACTTGTAGCCTGAAATCAGTCAAAAAGTAATGGTACTGGTTGCTTCTCTCCTTCACTTATATAAACTACTATTATAAAGCGAAAGATGAAAAGGTGACAAGGAGGGAGAGCGGAGTAGGTGATTTGAGGGATGATACTGCAGGTGCGGGTCGCCGGGAAAAAAGCGAGTATTCGCTATTGGCAGCTCCCCCGGGAGGGGGGAGGTGAGATTTCTCCGCGGGAAAAGTTG